ATAATTTATAAGTCATTATTATAATTAATAATTTAATAACGATAGATTATTAATTGCGACAATGCAACCTAGTAATAATTGTTACTTCGATCTTATTCGAAAATTGTATGGTTCTAATAACAAGATCAATTCAGTATGCTAATTTAATGAACCTTAGAAAATTCCTGACTAAAAGATAAAAATCTCCTGAAACCCTTAGCTAATATTCCTGCGCTACTATGTTATAAGCAAGAAAAGACCGTCCACTTACTATTAATAATTTTTATATAACAAGATTTTCTAGTAATTTTATGGTTATTATTTTGAATATTACAACTTATTTGTATATTTATATCAACAATTTATCGTTAATTTGAAGGACAGCGAATTCATACATTTTTCCATTTGATTTATAATATCGATATGAAGAAAATACAGCATAACATTATTATATGTAATTAACAAATACGTTTTCAAAAGAATTAAATTTAATAGGTTTTCGTGCATGTTTCGTTATTTAAGTTTTTAAAATATTTTGATTTTTATATAGGAAAATCGAGTACACATTATAATATAAATAATAAATTTAAAATATTATGATTAAATCTTTAATGCGACTATTTTGTAAAATATATGTTATAACACAGGTACTTAATATATTCTTGAATGTATATTAGCAGTATTCGTTTTATTGTACATTGAGAAATATGAGCTGGAAATAAATAAACTTGAGTCGTGTTATTTATATTCATCGAAAAAATTATGATATTATATTTTTTTTATTATTATTTATCCAAAATGTTTAATTATATATTTTGTTTTGCTATAAATAATTTATCTTAGAATATTGACAATAGTGATAATAACCTAAATGCAATATTTTTAACAGTTATAATTTTGGGAGATGGTAAATACGAAAATTTCCTTTTCTAAAAGTCGATATGTAAATCGTGGCAAAAATAATTAAGATTATAACTATGACAAACTGATAAGATACATCATACAAACTGCGGCAATTCATTTTATATACTTTACATGTTTATTGTTTAATTAGTAACATATTACGTGTTATGACAGACTATTAGTATCTCTTAGAGTATATAGGTGTAAAATAAAGAAAACCAATTTAAAATTGATATATTTTATTAAAAATTAGATCGTAATGATGTGTATAATCAAACCATTTAAATTAAAATATTATTATTATATTAAAATTATTTAAAAATCGTATAATCAAAAATAAATAAATATAATACAATAGGTATCTAATTAAATTACCGCAGTTTGTACGATGTATCTTATCGATTTTGTGGCAGATTATATAATCTTAATTTTTTTTTTTTGCCGCAGTTTACATATCGACTTTTTGAAAAAGGTAAATTTTGCCGCAATTTACATACAGCCATAATTTTGTACAGTAGACATACATAATACATGTACTTACTAA